GTGTGTGTGTGTGTGTGTGTGTGTGTGTGTGTGTGTGTGTGTGTGTGAGTAACAGCTTATACCCTCACACTCAAAACTGCAAGTCTCCATTTCCGCGACGACGCTCTGTGACATGCATCCCACCCAACAAGAGTGCCGAGCATCGGCAAATCTAAAAACGAACCGGACCCAATTAGCGCGCGAGGACGGGCGACGGCGAGGCACTCACTTGCTGAAGCTGGCCAGGTTCTGCATCACCTTGGCGATGAGCGTGAGCGTGCGCGACGTGCGCTCGGCGGGGTACTCCTGCATCAGGTTGAACAGGGACGGGGACATGATGGCTGGGCACATGAAGCGGAGGAACAGGGAGGAGCTGATGAGGCTGTCGGCCAGATCCTCACGTCCCCGCTCGGCACATCTGGCTCGCCAAGAGGCAAACACTTCCTTCAGCTCCCGGGGAAATATGCTGAAACATTAGCACATTTATTAATATGACCAGTGGCAAAGAAACAAAAATATRAAAGCTATAAAAATGTCTTATTTTTAGAATTACCCCCAACAGATCACATTGTTCAAAGTGAGAGTCTGACTATTTTATACTTCTGTTTAAACAGTCTGATATAAAGTTTTAATTGTTAACAATATAATTTAAAACCTTGATCATTTTCGAAGTGATGTTTTATTGAATATTTATTGAGTAGACCATCAGCCTTCATCATTAGAAATGGAGCACAGAGCTTGGAGAAAAGTGAAGGTCTTCATCTCGGCTAAATAAATAGCCAATTGAGAACCAGTTGTTTATTGCTTTTCATAGAAAACAGCCTTATAAACTATTTAATATAGGCCCTCATTTGGTTAGACATTAGCCTAGCCTGGACGAAGACTTCTGCTCTTGTTTTCATACTACATGCTCCAGTTCTGATGTTGAATACTGATATTACTGATAGCTGTTTAACAGAACATCCCTACAAAAAAAAAAAGAAAAAAAGACAATCCCTTTAATCTGTACACCTTAACATCCAAACCATTTTCAGTGTGAAGTAAGGACTTACCAGAGGGAGTTGATAATCTTGCAGAGTAAGAGTTCGCAGCACATACGCAGGTTGGCTTGGTGGTCGGCGAGGACTGATGGTGGGACACGCATGGGGTCCACCTCACAGTTCTCCTCAGACTCATATAAGGCTCGAATGAAGTCACCTTCCAGTTAGAAAACACAACTTTATTACATAAAACAACTAAAACCCATTCCCTTCCTCATGAATAGATAATGGTTCTCAAATACTAGAAAAGGTAACTGTTTGAAGGAAAGTTTATTTTTAAAGCTTAAAACTGTTTCTAATTGACTATGAAAGCACAAATTAAAGTGTGTAGACAGGAGATATTGTTGTCACTTTGATGTGAAAAACTGAAGCCTTGTTTTAATTATTTTAATGATTTAAACTTAAAGCAAAACGCCATCCAAAGCATYAGCACGATCATTTTCAATGGGTCCAAAACCTCAACCTTAACTTTTTTGGGGGATAATTTACTTCGAAATTGGTGGTTTTGCACCACAAATACATGCACTTAGGTGGCACATACTTTTTAGACATTTAAAGGGATTAAATTGTCTTTTGTRTGAGCTCTTTCTCCATCAAAACATGTCCCTAACAGTGAGCATCTAAGAACATGATTCATACTTCATCTGAAGGTTCCACATTCATTTGTATAAACTAAATGCAGAAAAGCTTTTCATGGAAGCTACCGGTTCGTGAACTCTATGTGATCCCTCAGAGTTTTGCTTGTCATTCAGTTTATTGTGACCGTCGAGTCTTTCAAAACCTGACTGGAAAGTTTTGCAAAAGAAGAAGACTGCAAAGAAACAACTTYGACAGGATTTAAATACTGTAAAACAGGTGTTGCAGGCCAAATGTAGCTGAATGGGACCCACCGTGGCATTTTATGTAGCCCGCGAGAGCTTCAAAGATGGATAAATGTCTTAAAATTGGTGTATGTTGTTTTAAAGCCATCATTGACAATAAACTACTGTACATCTCCCATAACGTATTCTTTTACCCAACAAAATTATAGCATCCCACCAGTAGGTGGAGGTGCTCAGGGTTCAAAAATATCAGGCAAGTTTGCTTCAGTGTTTAAAAGAGAAYGTTAAAATGTGGTTTCGATGCACAAAATACTACGTAGAGCTCAGTTATTTGTGGTGCTGAGTTGTAGCAATGAGGAGAGGAATGTGACATTTCCTTTTTAGTTGCAGTTAAACACAAAACATCGAAGTAAACTATTCCTGGTGAAGAAAATGAGTTTGACAATGCTGCTCTAAAACCTCATCTAAATTTGTTCAAGACAGGGCACTTCTGTATGGAATAAAGATAGTGTCAATAATGTGTCTTTATCACATTCATTCAGATTTTTGGTTTCCAATTTAAAAAAAACTAGCAACATCATATAGGTTCTAGCATGATTTTTGTAATTAGTCTTTATTTTTGCGCAATTTGATTTGACCTCATTGAGGCTTAAACACTGCGAAGTACAGTCTTACCTATAGCTTCCTTGAGATATCTGTAACCTATTAGTTTGAGGTACTCTTCCACAGCCTTCGTAGCGAGTGTGTTCTCCCGAAAGATCAAGTGCTCACGGTCCATGAATCGGTCCACCTCACACATCGCCATGTCTGACAAAAATTCCTGGCAAGACAATAAATCAAACTCACGGTTGTTTATTGAAGCGAGGCACATTCACTGTCTTTTAGAGGTGAACAACCTTAAAGGACGACAAAAACCTGCAGTTTGGTCTCAGTTCGGCTCGTACCTTTGTCTTCCCTGTACTTTGAAGGATGTGCACCAGAGCGAACGCCACCTCCTCTTTGCTCTTCACGCTCAGCAGCGGCTCCAGGACAGCGCACAGTGTTCGGTAGTTGTTGGTGATGTACTCAGCAAACTCCTTGTACAGCTCCATCGGGAGGATATTCATCGTCTGGTAGCGAGACTTGATGCGTAGCGATGCGTTGATCACTTTGGTGCTTCCAACGCCACCGCTTTTGGCCAGAACACTGGACTGTATCACCGGGTACCACTGCTCCACAAACTGCCGGCCCGTGATGCTGGATATCGGGATGCTGACAAGGCCAATGTATGTGCTTTTTTCCTACATTGCAAACACAGTTATTACATTTTTTTAACCTTTTTTTTTCTACAACAAAAATCATAGCGAAATCAAAATCTACCTTGCGTCTCTTTTTGTCCGTTTCCTTGTAGAGGTGCAATCGAAGGCTACGAATGGTAGGCAAATTGTTGAATTCAAAATGTTCTCCCCAGAAGACGGTGTCGGTGCGAGGTTTGCTGGTGGTGCGTGCATACAGCATGTCATCCAGGCACAGCTCACAATAGTAGCGCTTCTTAGCTGGAAGATCTCGGGCCTCAATGATCCACAACTTGAGCACATTTTCCACCCGTCTGCTGTTGTCCTGACAAAAATACAAGGAGTTCTATTACTGCATTATAACAGTCCTTATTTAAATCTGGCTGAGGTAAAATGACTGAACTCCGGATCGTTAGCAGCTTCTCAAAATGACTGCATTGAAAAATACCTTGTTAGGTTTGACAGCTCGCTGCAAATTTTCAATCCATTTGTCTCTTTCTGAAGCCGAACGGCAGGCAAAACATTTGGTCCCTGAATTTGTTGTTACCTGCAGACAGAGTGTCACATTTACAGATGCTCTTGGGTATTTCATCTATGGTTACAACTCTCAATGACGTCAGGAATGGATCTGTTTTTCAGCGAAAGTATAGGGAAACTTGAGACTGCAGCTAAATCAGAACGAACAAATTAATCTTTCTTTTCCAAGCAGCCAAGGAATACGAAAAATATTTTACTTTGTGTTTTATTTTACTTTGTCTACTTTATATAGTCTGTATGTACAGTGCATAAAATTAAAAGTACAGTTTTACAAACTACAAAACCCAGAGGCCTGTGAATCTTAAGCAGCCAGAACCCAAGAATAAATCTGCATTTTTGCATTAAAATCATGCAATAAACTGTTTTTAAGCTCTAATTAACTCATAGGTCATTGCATTTATCAAAGCTCCTAAAGAGGAATGAGGTGGCTTTGCAGTGGTGCCTGAAATGCTGCATAATTACTGTAAGATTTGTGTAAAGAATGTGGTTGATAAGTATAACCATAGGCAAAGGTGAAACAAATGACAGCACCTCAAAGCAGTACTCTTGTCCTAAAATGCTGGAGTGGACAGGCTTGATAATGGCATCTTCATCCAAAACTAGGTCTAAAGCTTCTGCAGCGCTGCTGGGGGAAAGAAGGGACTCGTGGGAGTGGGATTCTTTGAAGCTCTGCATCAAGCGTGTCCTGGTGAGAGAAGACGACATATAGAATGCATATAGATGTTTTCATAACACGAGTCACCGCAGCTCAAACACAACGTGTCATTTTTGACAAAGGCTCYCTTCTTTCGAGTTTTCACTTTTCCTATTTGCAGTTTTGGTAAATTGACTTTATGATGCAAAATAATCAGCCAAAAACAATATGGGCAAATATGCTGAGCGYTGTAGCAATTTTTGTGTTTTCTGCTGAAAAACTTTAGGTCCTGACACCCACATTGAGGTTACCTTAACACCCACCACCATCCCACCTAAATATTGTTGCCGGCCTTCCCATGGCAACAGCTCTTCCTGTCAGCAGCAGATTGTGGGAGCCAGGAGCAGATTACCGGGCAGTTTTACTCGGCCTTCTTCCAAAAAGAAGCAAAGAAGCCCCTCTAAAGTCATAATCTRAAGGGATATTAATGAGAAGAAGTARCATGACAGGAAAGAAACACAAAATGAGCAATATAAAATGAATATTTCAACATGACAACATTTACATGAAAGATGTAAAAAGACCCATAATTTAAGTGCCAGGTTACATATCTCTCTCTACATTACATGGCAGTTTTAAACTAGGCGCCTCACATCTTATTTTGAAAATATTACAGCTTTAGTCTTTTGGGTAAATCTTAAAATTTGTGTGATGCGCAATCGCACGCAACATCGCAATATTTTACAGTATCTTTCAACACACTGAGAATGTGTTAACAATGACTCTCAGCTACTACCCTACCAAATTGTGTGCAGTTTTTGTAAAAATTGCCAAAATTATAATAATTTATTCTGTTCATTAGCAGTGGCAGCCAGCTTGAATTGGGCTGACTCCCAGTAATTACTTTCTGAGAATTTCATTTAAATTCATCCACTCCTCCTTGGGATATTAACAGACAGACAGATAATTGAATTCAAATGAGAATYCTAGATCAACATACAAAATGTTACAAATAATATAGAGTTGTGGAAAGTGATGCAAAACGTGCATCATGCAAAAACAAGCTGGCAAATAATGGTTTGAGGGTCTTTTGTGTCTCTTGTGATGCAGGTGTGTGTCGCTCCTCTTGGTGAAGGGCGCTCACGTCTGTGACTTGGGGTTTGTGGTTTCATTATGTCCTCGTGTTCTCAGAAGGACAATGAAACCCCTCTTATGTCATCAAAACTCCCAGGAGCACCTTCATCGCTACAAAAGAGCCCGACGTCATAAAGACGCCGCTGAAGAAGGTCCAAGTGGGTCAGGACTGTTTGAAACAACGAGGAGGGGGTCGAGTTGGTCTGATCTCAAATGTTGGGACATGCTGAGATTGTGGTGCCGTTTGGGGAAAAGCAATATTTAAATTTGCTTTTACGCAAGAACTTGAAAGAGCTAATGTAATGTTGCTTAATACGGGGAAACAGTGTGAACTACTAACTCAGCTCTTTCACACACAACAAAAAAATGAAATAAATCAAAAGCAGGCAGGGAGAAATTACAGCATGAAGTAACCTTTAGAGGAGGTCAACTCCATCAGGAGGGACAGAAAAAAATGRCTGAATTGAAAGCAGAAAGGTAAACCGAGGTGAAGCAAGGTCATCAGAAAAGAAGCTTGTTGTTAAGACTAAGTGTGTTCAGTTCTTCAGGGCTTATAGGTGCTACAAAATGAGGTTGAATATAATCTAGAAAATTGATTTTTCCTGTTTTTTTTTTGTTTTTTTTTTTGAAGACAGAGTTAGAGGATATGGAGTACAGAGTTACAGTTCAATAGCAAAAAGAAATAAAAAGACAAACATCAAAGTGGTCAATTCTTTGTGAAATTCTACTCTGTTGACAAGTTAGACAAGAAAACAGAGAGGAGTTAATTTGTTCCAAATAGCAAAAAATTTGGAAATGATATTAAAAAAAACACTTTTGGGAAAAAAATCAAATTGAAAATATGGAATTTTAAGTTTTAACCCCAGTTTCGACAGCCTTRGATGTTTTGTAAAAGGTAAATAAAAAGAAAATGCATTGCTTCTCATAGCTCATAAACCCATATTTTATTTACAACCAACTATAGCAAACATTAAATATTTAGACCAAGACATTGCTTTTTTGGTGATTATCTGATGATGCTATAGATGACGGGATACTCAAGGACTTTTCAGTTTTCCTTTGAGGAACATTATTCTGAAATTCTGCCAGTATTTTTAGATTCAGTTGGCAGACTGGTGACTCCAGTTTCTTCATCTTTCGTCATGTCCTGAATGTTGGATGGTATCGATGTGATGGATACTTGAGTCAAAATGCTCCTCCGTCTCTTTCTTACTCATTCTCCTTACCTTTGCAGGCTTTTGTCCCAATTTTTCTGAGACGTGTCGCTGCCTTCAGAATCATAATTACCTTGTTTTTGTCTAAAACAAGAGAACCGCCAGAGACAAGAAGCTAATGAAGCTCCTGATAATTCCACGGGAAACAGGGTTTCGTATTGATCCGCTCTGAAGAAACAAACGACTTGCAGAATGCGGCAAAATGCTCTGATCAACCGAGAGGCTTGGCAGCTGAGGTGCAGCAGCTGCGGTGCAAAGCCGGAGCGTGGAGCTGGATGCTGCGGGTTTACAGCAAAGTCAACTTAACACCGCCGAGTGAATTAAGCGTGTGTGGGCCAAACTCGCGGCGGGCTGTGAAAGCAGCTGTCTGAGGCAGCGGTGGTTAGAGGAGAGAGCACGCTGATCTAGGCGGCGACTTAAACCTCAACATCATTTAGCTCCATCAGAGCTGCCCCCACACAGCTCATTTGGTTTTCATATAATTTGCTCCAACAGCTCAAGTCACAGCCTTTTCTTGCATCCTTCCCTGATCTCAGAGACTTGGACGTCCACACCAGCCCTAAATACGTCTATGATGCATCTCCTGCTGTGACRGAAAAGTGTACTGTCAGCACTACTTCTTTCTGTTTTTACTTTTACCCTCCTGTCTTTGTATTTCCCATAAGTGCATCRTGACTGGATTGTGTGAAGACTGCATAAAATTTTGAACACAATGCAAGCAAGACTCCACTGGGATGTGACCTCACTTTGAAATAAAAAACAAAGACAAAAAACTGTCACAAAGCTGCAAACATGCTGAAAAACAGGCCGACCTAATGACTGGAAACAGTGTAAAAGTGTGGAATGTTTTTGAAATTTTAGTTTAATTTGGTTTTTAGGTTTCATACATATTTGCCTTAAATGATTGTTATCAAAGCCAAATATATTAAAATATAAATCAATGAACTAAACTTAAACTTGGAATCTGTAAAACATATTTTAACACACTGATGTAGCCAAACATTCAAAATGAAATATCACCAAAAACATATTAAGTAACACAAAAATCTCAAAAAACATTATAAAAATAAATGGAGGAAATCAAAATGTATTGTTTCTGTTCAACAACCTAAAGAGTGTTTATTTAATATCTTACCTGTGGGAAAACTCCTTCAACAGACTTTGGAGAAAAATACAATTTTTCTGACCTAATTAACAGGAAAATTTTGTTTCATTTTTAAAACTGAAAAACAAAATTATTTCCTTTATTCTGTTTCTCTCTGAAGCACATCTCCACCTCTCCAGACTTTCTTCCGCCTGCTCCATACTTTTAATAACAAACCCAAACCAYATCAAAAACCCAAAAGATTCTCAGTCAAAGTTTGAACAAAAATGTGCACAACTATTTAATTTCCAATTCTTTTACAAAGTCTTCAGTTTGTCACCATCAACTTACTTCTCCACATCGGCGCTCCGAAACCTGGGCAAAATCATCTGTTTGAAGCTGCTGGTCCGGTCCAGTTTGGGCTGACTCTTTGCCCTCTTGATGGAACCCTTCAACCTTCGATTGAGGAAACTCTGAAGACGAGGAAGAAGAGGAAAGTGTCACGTGGATTTTTAGGACCTACAAGGACGTCAGTAAACCGGTGTGCTCCAACAGAACTGCCTGAAGGTTTAACGAACTCACCGGCTGCCGGAACGGCTGCGGAGTCGTGTTGGGGGGTGTCTCCATACTCGACTGTCTTACAGAGGCAAAACTTGCCCTGCGTGATTGGTCTGTGAGAAAGCAGGGTCAGACATAAACAACAGGGAGAAAATATTAAAAAGAAAAACATAAAATCTGAACCAACACAYCAAATACTTAAATATAGGTTTTACTAAATACTTAGTTTGAATGAAAGCATTATAACTGCAATGTATCTGCAAAACAACTAACTTTATATTAAATGTTGCTTTTGGATTTATGGCTGCTGATGCTAAATATTTTTGACAACTCGTGTCAAATCTGCTGCAATTCTCAACTTCAAAATAAAAGCATAAAACACTTAAAATACTTACAAAAAATAATTTTATGAACAAAAACCATTGAAAAGCAACATAAATCTTTAAAAATTAAACAGGTCTAAATGACATTTGTCTGGTGGCCTGCACGACTGAGGTAAAAGGCTAAAACATGAACATCAAAAAACATTGTTTTAATAAAACTCATTGATATGTGTGTGTCTAAATAGCATCATAAACCCAATGTGCATAGTGTTATAGCAGTGGTCCTATCCTGGTCCTCGAGGTCCACTATCCTGCATGTTTTAGTTGTTCCCCKGCTCTTCAGCAGGTTTTCAAGTTTGGCACTTTTTTCTTCAGCWCAGGTGTGTCAAAGCAGAAAAACATGGAAAACATACCGAATAGTGAACTTCAGGGACCAGAATCGTGCACCACTGCTCTATAGTTTGCTCTAAAATTCAGTTACTTGTAAGGAAATAAAACATTTAAATTGATTTCGACCATTTATTTTAACAGGCAGGTGTAAAAGGCCTACAAACCCCGTTAGTCATAACGTGTCTGGAATGAATATTTGAATTTATGACCTGACTTTCACATCACTTTGAGGCCATGGATTGACTGGAATCCTTTAATTATATTTTCACAAGTTAACTATCATTTAGGTCGAAGTCATAGAGCCACATGGAGACAATGAATTGTTGTGAAGAGCACAACAGAACACAGACTAATGTATCTGCGAAGCAAAGCTCAAGCCAAAAAACAAAACCAACAACAACAAACAGCCCCTAACAAACAAACAAACACAAGAAACTGACAGAAAACTTTCTGTATCTGAGGTCAGTGGGGAAAAAAAGATATAAAAACTCAGCAGTACGTAAGACCCACACTCCAGTGAGTCATCATGAAACCCGCGGCTTTAGCCTGACTTTAGGCTAGCACAAACTCTGCAGCTCGGTGATGGATCTATAAAAGTATGAGCAACTATTTTTAGGTAATCTCAGCTGACACGTTCCCCTGAACGTCTAAGAAAGAGCAGGCTGGTTTACAGCAGCGAGAGGAGCAAATAAATTCTGTTCCATCGACATCTTTCATTTCATCTCCACTTGGTTTTGTAAAAAGCAAAACTCAAAAGAAACCTTAAACATTTTATCTACAAGCAGTTTCATATTCTGCTGTTTTGTTGCACGGGCAATTTGGGGAAATTTATGTCCTCTACATTCCTCTACAAGTGGAGCTTCCTCTTTTAAAGCAGCAGTTTTGTTTCCAAGTGCAAAACAATTCAACTGATGTTATGAAACAGCAATAAAAAGTAGAATAAATCATGTTGAAAGATCCAACTTATACAAGGTATATGGTATTTTTAGTCCAATGTCTTCAATAAAACTTGAATTTACTGTATAGTTCTTTTGTTGTTTTTTTTTTCAAGCTGGAAGCAGCAGCGATTATTGCCTTGTGTCACTGATTCACCAAAATAATGTTTTTTTTTTATCACTGCAGTTATATTTTTGTCCATGAACGATCCGCTAGGGGTATTTTTATTTTTTTAGAAGTTGCACATTACCCCGAGGAGCCGTTTTATCCTCTTTCCTTTTTTTTYCCCAACAAAGAAACAAGACACCCTGTCATCCTCTGATTTCTTCACTCCCAGCGCCTGTAAGTAGGCTACTCTCCAGGTTCTATTCTCAATCTCCCAGCTAATTGTTTGGTTTCCATGGAAACAACTCCAAGGGCTTGAAGTGTAAAAGATACTGGCACTGTAAGAGACGATAGAGGGGAGGGGAGGAAAAAAACCAACACAGAGTAACGTTCCGCGCAACCCGACGTGACGAGCGGAGCAATGGGCCAACCACGAGCGGGGGAATCTTCCTCAGCTGGAGGAAACGTTTCAGCTCTCCTGTTTGGTGTGTCATGTGGAGCTGAATCATAACACATCAAATCGATTCAATGACCCTGCAGAGAAATAGCCAGTGTCCTTTCCACCTGCCTYTAAAAACAGTCGCTTGCAATAATATGGGCGGGGGGTCTAAGTAATCGTGACATGTTAGAACACATGGATTTCTTCAGTTGGGCCGCTCTGGATGTAAATTGCTCTCAAGACGGAGCGTGTAGGTGGCAACAGCCTCTAGCTAGCTGTGATACAGAGAGAGAAAGACTGTGAGTGGGTGGTGGAGAAACAGACTCAACCTTTAGTAGAGCTATTAATGTAGATATGAAAACTTTGCCATCTTAAATGCTTAATTTTTTTCACAAGACCATTTTAAAAGAAACATTTTGATACAGAAGTATAAGGTGTCAGTTCTCCATCCAAAGCCGATATCAGACGTGATAGGGATGTGTATTAAGAACCTGGTGATATGATATACAGGAAACAGAAACACCTGGTTTTGACCACAACATCCCTTTCAGACACCTTCCTCTTGCGTCCACAGTTAATCCTGTTGGATGTGGTTGGTCCTTCTTRGTGGTATGCTGACATTACCCTGGATACTGTGGCTCTTGATACATCACAAAGACTTGCTGTCTTGGTCACAGATGCTCCAGCAAGACGTGCACCAACAATTTGTCCTCTTTTGAACTCTGGTATGTCGCCTATAATGTGTGCATTGCAATATTTTGAGCAAAACTGTGCTCTTACCCTGCTAATTGAACCTTCACACTCTGCTCTTACTGGTGCAATGTGCAGTTAATGAAGATTGGTCACCAGGCTGGTCCAATTTAGCCATGAAACCTCCCACACTAAAATGACAGGTGTTTCAGTTTCWTTGTCTAACCCATGTATATCCCGATACAGGGGTCACTGTATTGCGATATGTAAGCAAAGTAAAACATTGCCATTTTTTTTACAAAGATCCTAATTTCAAAAACCTGATTATAAATAGTGCATGGATGACATGATTATATTCCATTTATTTGTAATCAGTTAGAAGAATACTGAGCAAGCAGTTGTATTTCACATTTCTTCTTACAACATCCATGCATCATGCCTTAATGAGAAATCGATACAGTAACAGGAAATGAAACATCGCAATATTTCATTGTATCATTATTTTCTCACACCCCTAGCTGACGACCAGCATTCGCAAAGGAGACTTCAAAGTGTCTCGAAACATTCGCAGAGCTCCTCAATTAGAACATCAACTCACAGATTACTTAGTGATTGTTAAAAGGAATAGTATTGGTAAGTGTAAAGAAAATGTTCCATATCTATACAACCCATTCTCACTCCCAACTCATCACATATTAATAGATGAGTCTGCATCCAGTTTTGGACACGTCGGGTACCCCCCTCATGTCAGTTATTAATGAGATGAGACGGGGGAGGAGGAGCGCGTTGTCATATTTTTGAAAAGATTAGGAAATGTACAACAACTAACCATCCCAGACCCTAAACTGAACTTCTGTTAGCCCTATATCCCTGACCTCAGTACCTAAAACAAACCATTAATCCGGATCCCTCATATTAACCACAGACCCCCAACCCAAAGACCCCTACGTGGCGCAACCCATAAAAGCCACGGGTGGCAATGACTGACGCAAAGGGGTTACCTGACRCAGCAAAACTGAATGCAGACAGTTCCTGACCAAGTGTCAATATGTTGACGAGTCGGGATTGAGAACGTGTTGGTCTATACTGGTAAATGAAACTTCAAGCCAAAACAATGCAATGCAGAAACATCAAACTACAAGCCGTTTGCTTTAAAGAATGGTGTTCCAAACRTATTTGAAATTTTATATTGYACAATATACAATATAATACTWTTGTAAAATATATTGTACTGTWTATTATATTGTACTAGTGCCAATCMATCTGTGTGGTTCTTCAACTCAACAGGATGCAAAGGATAAAGGTGTTCTACTTGAGTCAWRCTGACAACTTTTWTTTMTTTTTCAACAATCTTGACCAAATGGAAATGTCTATTTGAGGTCAGAGTCTATAAGTTAGCTGAATGTTAGCTATCTGGGTGCAAATATCCTATAGGCAACACTACTCACTTTTCTGCATCATCTAACAAAAAAGAGCACCATTCTGTAACATTTAAATAATATACACTCATTAGAAGCAAAGCAAACCAGAAGGTAAAGAAAGTACAAGTATGCATATTCTAAACACTGATTTTAAAGTAGCCAAGATAAGATATTTCATCAGCATCAGTAGAGAAATGTAGCAAACCTGACAAAAGCAACAGGTACCTATTCTCTGGCAAACACACTTGATAAAAACACAAGCCCCGAGATTCTATGTGAACAAGTTTTCACACACATTATCCAAGCTGTTAACAGGCTCCCACAGTTTTGTTTGTTCAGAAGATTATTATGCAGTTTGTGTTCTCTGGAGGACACAACTAACTTAAAAAAACGATATTATGGCCCAAATTCCCACAGACAATCCAAACAGAACATCAGCTGCATGCATCAGTGTGGTGAGGTGATAATAGACACAATGTCTGTGTTTGTTGGAAACAAAGTAAAACACAGTGGGAGCTCAACTTTAAAGGTAAGTTGGATTTTATCGCTGTCCACAACGTTGATGTTGCGCTCCAGTTCGATGAGACTGTTTCCAGTAAYGGATCACGCACAGGATCTTGTTGCGACTGGTCTGCAGCATCCGACAACAAAGAGCCTTCAGTGACTCACAGACAAGCCTGCCGGGCCAGATGTCACATTCATGTCATATGGAAGTCGCCKTAATTGCCATATTCCAGCTCGTAAATACAGATCATGATGACAACAAACCRGCAATTACGGAACAGGATTTTGTTCTTTTTCAGCCAATAAATAAGTCAAGAACAGAACCTTATCGCTGGTGCTCTGATCACACTTTACACCTCAAAACCAGCAAGAGCCAAAATGAAATCTGTTTAAATTCAAGAAGAGCCCAATATTAAACCCAACTCTAACTGTAACTAAACCCTAACAATCCTACTGTGTCGTTTCCGGATGCCAAATTTTGCTCAACAGCTAAGAATGAATTTTCTTCTTAATGTTTTTTTAATAATCCCTGAGAATGATGATGAAYTGATTCTGGTGAAGATCAACACCGACACCCGCCTCTGCTGTCCTTACACTGGGAGGTTTGACAAAAAAAATTTCCGCTGAAATTCAACAGCTAGAAAAGCCTACTGGTGATCAGATTCTCTCCCTCTCTGTCCATTTTCCCACCAACATCTGGTGCTGCAACACTGACAGGACATAAATAAGCTGTCTTGTATGGTTAGTTTATTATAAGTRCCACAGATCCCTGCTGTTAGGTGATGGGAAGTTTCTGCATTATTTGTGTTTTACTAACGTAATGTTTAATCAGTTTGAGGGGGTTAAACTTAMCTGTTTTCCTCAGCTAAGAGAAACCTATCACTCAGCTCAAAACAGAATGATTTTGAGGCTCAAATATACATTAGTTTTTTTTAATTACTCATGTTTAATTGGGTAAGTATTTAGGGTTTGTTTGTTGTTTTCTTACAAAACCTCAAAAAAGTTTTTTTTTTCAATAAACCGAGGATTGTTGCATATTTGTTTAAAAGATCATTGAACTCCAGATTTAGATATTTTGTTAGTTACTTTGAATAGTGTAATGAGAAGGCTTGGTGCCACATTTGTAAGGAACATGCATTTATRCAGTAGCGCTRAGTATGTGGGTTGTGCACATAAAMAAAATTGGCAAATCTTMTCTGCCAAACAGCTTATTTTGTTGTTGCTATTTACACTTATTTTGARTTTCTGGTACCCCCRGGTGCTGCCAATCAGGTGCCCAGAAGCAGTGTTACAGCAAAGAAATAATCTACCAAACACAAATTTATTACTTTTTGTGCTAAGAAAAAATAGTAGCMTTTACCTCATCAATCCAGACTTACCTAAACTCTATTTTTCCAAACGAATGTTGTTAGAAGAGCTATCCACAGCAGGAAAGATATTAATAGYGTATGATTTTTCCACAGAACACTACTTCAAAAAAACTCTGAACTATCCCTTAACGAAAAGAGACTACAACACAAATCTAACATTGTCATCTCACATATAATCCTCATCATCTATGGCCACAAAACCAATGAGTTTAACTCATAACAGTACAAGTCTGTGCAGAAAGTTCCGGTCATTCTTATTAACAGTGAGCTGTCGAAACAATCAGTATGACTGACAGGAGAAAAAAAACCTTGTCGCATCAAACTTCACGGCTCTTTGACAGGCCGGCAGCAACACCCCAGGAGGTTTGGCACGGTTTTAAGCATGAACTGTGATTTACAAAACACAGAATGACACCGCAGATGCCAAATTGCAAAGAGACGCTGYAACCATGTAGAGTCTGAAATGGAAAGACGTCACACTGCGTGGAGTCTGATGCGTTGAAATTTTGTTGTTGTTTTTTTTAAAAAAGGAAAACAGAGCTTTTCAGTGGAGTTTACAAAACCTTTTTTAACCTCAGCATATGCATTTGCACCGAAGAGATAATGGCCCTAACAACGTAATTATTCCTCAACTGGAGATGTTTACACTAAATAGATACTCGGGATTTAAAAAGTTGTGCTTGTGACTGGATTTCGAGCCACTCTGATGCTATGTTTAGCAGCAGCACCGTAATGAGGTGGATGCAAGGCGCGCAGAAGAGGCAGAGTTGCAGGATTTAAAGGAGGAGGTGGGTGGAGTGGGGGAGGAAGAAGGGGCAGTGTGGGTGCGAGGGAAACAACCTGCAGTCGGCGCCTAATCTGACAGATATTTGGTGATGTAGTCAAGGTAAACATATATATTTATTCACCACCATTCTCTGAAACAGGGAGGCACAACGACAGAAACATAAACAACCTGAAGTTGCGCTGCATCACGTGTGTTTTTCCAACATTCCTGCCGTTCTGCTCTGCCTTTGTGTAAAAACTAGCCAACAGTAGTGTGGCCCAGTTACCATAGTTACACGTTCACAGCTTGTGCACTTCTCTACATCAAACTACCTTCATTTCGACTAATTCATTTAAGAAGCGTCATTGCGCCACTTCTAAGCGCGCAGACCCAAATTAAACAGCTAAGAAATGAAGTTGTGGAGGTTAAAGGGATAGTTCAGATCTTTTGTGGGAAGATTCTGAACATTCCCTGAGGATTTTTCTTTTTTTTTTTTTCATAAAAAACTATATCCATACTGCACCAGCAGGTGGCGACAACGTCAACATTAACAATGTATCAAAATAATGGGTAACAACTGCAGCTCGTTTTACCAAAATCATTTATTATTTTCCTTAAAGTTACTAACATTTTTAGCACAGAATCAAATTATTTTGACAAATGTATCTTAAAGTAAACATCAGATTTTAAAAAACTATAAACAGCTTCATTGTTTTTGTGGTTTCTAAAGCACAACGTGACACAACAGCTACATATTCAACTCTCAGAGGCTTCATATTAAAAATCTACATGGACAAACCAAAAGTGAGGGGTTTCAAAATCTTCACTTTAGGCAGCTTTTCTAAATGCTCAGTTCCTAAAACGCTGTTTTAAAACAAATACATGGTAAAATGACAAATAGCAGCAACAGCAGCTAGCTGTAGGCACTTTCGTTGCACCTCCAGTAGGACAATCTGAATTTATATGTTGGAATAATTTTAAAAAATAATCTGCAGCAGAAAATAGCACTAACTGGAACAGCTATGAGTTTTATGAGATTTTGAAGACTGAATCTACAACAGGTAAGATATTCATTGTTCAAAACTTGTCCACAGAACCCCACATCCAAATATCATGTTCATGTTTCCTATGAAGACTATTGTCGTTTCACTAAAATCTGCCTAATTCTCAAAGTACAATTTATCTCCAGTACCCAAAAGCTGCAGAGTACTTTTGCTGAGTTTAAATGTTTGAAATAAAACAACAGTTTCCTATGCAAACCATAAATGATTTCCCTAGTTCCTGGAGGTAATAGAAAATGCTGTTTTCATTTGGGGTGTGTGTGGAGGGGGGGGAGAGACCCTGGAAATATCAAAGATGGTTTAAAAGGCAAATGGCACCATCAGACTGAGAGGATGTCAAAATAAGACACTTGGAGTGTGACAAAGCGAGGGTGAGCAGTGCTTCAGCGGGCATAAAAAAATGAATAAATTCTCAATACACAGAGGTATTTTTGTCAGCGCTGCTCAAAGGACTGAAAAGCCATGACAGAAATAAAGCACAACTGAGACGACTGCATTTTAAAAACCTGTTCACTGACCATTGAAAACAGAGAGAACAGCAGCCTAACAGGGGGTTGGGGGACATTTAAAGACATGGATAACAGAGAAAAACCTCAGCGGGCCACAGCAGACTGGAGACAAGGCTGAGAAGCGACACAAAAAGAACTTGACAGTGAAGAACTGGTTCTTGGCTAGACCGACTCACTTGGCGTTAAAACTCCAGGTCCACCACAGCAAACCTCCGCTTGACCAACCAAGCCAAACTGACCCTGATGTGGCAGCCACGTCTTTGAAGATGTGTCCATGCAGCTACAGATACAAGTAGAGTTTTGTGGGGTTTAGTTTGTGACACTCGTAAACCAACCGCAGCAAGAAAACAAGAAACACCACCAAAATCTGAAAACAAAACTGGACAATTACAGATAGTGTGGTCCTTTGCAAAGTGATGCTCACTTGATCAGTCATAGACCACAGAGGGTGGAGAAAAGGGCAGAGGTCTGTCCAGGATAAGTTGATGATGAGCCAAATGAGAAACTGTTTTTTTTTTATCATTGTTGAGGCTTATAAAAAATATTTTCTCAAAACCAAACAACCTTGTTTGAAAGAACTCTACATGAGCTTTAATTAAACCTTTTGACTCTGGCAAATTGATACATTTGCACCATCTGCAAATATACATACAGTTAGTGTTGCTAAATGTACGGGGTAAGTCAAAAGTCATAGGACACCCTTTTATTTCAGAAACAAAAGGGAAAACAACATGAACACCTTCTCACTGTCATATATGGGCACTTGGTCAGGCTCCCTCTTGTCATTAGTTGACACATTGGTCTAGGTTTTTGATTAGGGGCTGTGTTTAAGTTTAGGGTTACTGGTTAGCTTTAAGTAATAAGGTCACGGTCTTTGCAGCAAACAAAACAAAAAATGTAGAGGTTTAGCCTTCCTTCACACCAGAGTGTCTGTTTTAGGGAAGTATTATTAAAAAACTGCCACTCAGTTAGCAATTAGCCTTTACCAGATGAAGACTTTTGCCCTTTTCTCCATACTCTGTGCTCCATTGCTAATGTTGATAAAGTATTAATTATCGATAACAGACCATCACTTTAAAAATGACTAGACTACCCCATTTAAACAAAACGTGCTTATTAGGATTTTAAAAAACAGGTTTTAGATGCAATGTTTTTCTCCCACTTAGATGGATAAGAGCATCCAGAAAATTCTCATCAGGGACTGACCTCAGGAATAAGCAAATGTTTAGTCAGGAGCACAAACACACTCATATAACATAATGTTTTGGTGCAGGAGGTTCTTCTAYATGCAGCTTATTGTAGTTGCCCTTTATAGAGTTCCAAGCTAAATGTCACAACGCTGCTCAACCACAAGCTGCTGCCATGATTAATTGATAAGCTTTCCTACAGACGAATCAGCATTTTAAGTCAAGTCGTGTTTGTGTCTGCTGAGAAATACTCCTCTTTAAATGGAGAACGGTTCGATTTCCCACTGATAAATGCCTAAAATAAGTTATTTGTCTCCCGCCTCTGTGAGAAATCGGTTAACATGATAATGGCAGTAAATGTGGGGTCTTTTCTTTATCTAATAGTGGGCGCAAAATGCAGGTTTTAAAATGCAGAACTGAACCAAAACTGTCTCCCAGAATAGATGTTACCCTAATCCAAATGTTTTAAACTTTCCACTGACAGAAAGGGTCTCAAATTCTCTACAGCGAAGGTCAAACATCCAAAACATAGAAGAAGAAAAAAACTGAACTGAGTGGAGGTGGGTAATATTTTTCCTTTCAGCTTTAGTGAACACAGAAAAAGTCAAGGATTTGCTTCTATTTTACAGAGAGAAAAGCAACRTGTGAAACAAAGATGTGAAAAAATATTTTAAAAATTGTGGTTTAACAATTATATTGAGATTACTCATAATTTGTGTTTCTTTTCAAAATAAGCATTAGAGGCTATAAGAAGAGGTTCAAGATGGGTTTGAGATACTGACTTTTTGAAGGATGTTGCACAAATTGTTTAACATGTTTAAATCTCACACAGTAGGACTCTTGTCTCGAGCAGACCATCACACAATAGAAACATTTTGTCACCAAATTAACCAGTAAAACAGATCCTTTTCCAAAAYGAAAATAGCATAAAGAAAAACCAAAACAAGACCCATTTCAGGCAGCGAAGTGAAAAGGCTTTTGTCACCTTAATGTTTTTCTTTTTCCAATGTGTTGCAGGGCTGAAACGCATGAATAAATGTATATAAACTAAGTCATAAAACTGTTAAGAAAATTCATGAAATACGCTGGGCTTCCTCTGCTGTCTGCACAAAATCAGTCAAATAAGTAAGAATCTCTGTTTCTCATAGTTGTTTAGTGACAACATGAACAAGTTAAAGTATCTGTGGCATCAATTCTTTGTAATAAATATGAACAAATTTTTGGAAAGATAGCATTGATAGCATATTGCAAAAATAATTTAATGTTGCTGAGATGAACACTTGCTCAGATATTTGCATAAGAAGTAACAGGAAGTGATGTCAAAGGGGAACAAAACGTGAACAGAGTGTTTATACAACAGCTAGCAACACAGACTGCAGAGAAGAATCTGTTGTTTCTTTGAATTATTTTGAGTCTCTATCAGAGAGATGAAGAAGAGTCAGAGTTTAAATACTATTCTTTCAGTAAAAAAACAGGAAGTTCTTTTTATTAAAGAGATCCCCTTTGATGTCACTTCCTGTTTCCCTTTTGCTGAGCCAAGTTCAAAAGAAAATGTGCTCGTTATGTGAAAAAAACTGGGTTAAAATGTGTTTTATGCTAAGTTTCTTAAATATAAAAATGTTTTCTCTGACTTTTTGTGCTTGAAGGATATGCATGTCACAGCCTCTTTAAAACCTGAGTTTGACTTTTATAGAAATCTGCACTTCTTAGTGTCTTCCTTCTTTTCTTTGAGAGCATGAATAATATCTAAGTGCAGGAAATTGGCCTCTAAGCTTCACCAAAAATCGCTTTTTTTCCCTAAACCTGGGCAATTCCACCTCCGCCTTTAAGCGTTTTTTTTTTACTTTTAAAGATAAAACACAAATTTCTGTTTTCTTTTAAAAGCCTCTCTTTTACCTCAACTCAGTTTGTATTCTTGTTTTCGAAGCTCCTGCACAGTTTCTACACCTTTGAATAAAGAAAATGGGGTTTTTATTTGTTGTTTTTATCTTTAATACCAATGTGTTAGTAGAAGTGCAGGCGTTTGTGTGATGCTTTTTTAAACGCCCCGCTGATATCCTGATGACAAAATTTACATCAAACAATCCTTAAGGTCCCCCATGTGTTAGATGAGATAAATAAGAGGAGAGGGSTTTATCTATAAGTGAGGGTGATGGGGTGTTTTGGAGGAGGAAAATGTTTGGGAGGGTAAAGGATTACTGGTGAGGTTTTTWAAAAAAAATGAAGCCAGTGGAGAAATTATGGCCTAAAGCAAAGGAAAACATTTTTGAAGGAATCGAGTTCATTGAAGCGGGTCTCTACTTCTTTTTTTTTTAGAAAAAATTCAATCAGATTGACAAAGCCTTTCTGTCCTTGGCAGAAAGATAAAGGCCCATCCATGCGTTCCACCGACAATGGCTGAAGAACGGCTGTCAGACTCCCAGCTGACAACTGTCACGGAGCGGCAAGGAGTCCAAATCCTCAACAGTTCGCCACGAAACAAGAGAGATTAATTTATGTCGGTGATTCATGCATTTTTATTGCCGCTAAAGCAACAAAATAACTCCACTAAGAAATGTATGAGACACGGATAGCTGTTCTAAATGGAGGAGGATGAGGAAATCCGGCGATGGGAGGAATGAGTCAGAGTGAGCCGGACTTATCTTGTTCCATCATAAGAGCAGCCTCAGACGTTTTATTACCAGAAGCACTTTTCTCTGCACTGCACTGTTTTGGGGGGTGTTTATTTATTTTATTTTATTTATTTTTTTGTGAGGGGGGTTAAGATAGAAAAGCCCACTGTGTGTAATAATAGCTGCATAATGGGGCATGAAGACAGAGGCCGTACACAGATTCCAAACATTAACTAAATCTAATGGCAGCTGAGATGAAGGAACACTGTCACAGCAATGAATAAATAATTCACTGCATGTAAATTCTGTGAGATATCACATCTGGTGAAACAACTGTTAGCAAAAGGGCTGCGTTTTTTCCACAAAATTGCTTGAAACGTCAACTTAATACTGTCATAAACTGAAACAAATCAAGAAGCTCTAATTTTCTCTTTTGTCTTGATACAAGAAAATCACAGAATCAGCTCTTTAATGGGTAGCCTAATCCAGCAGCCAGAACCCCTCTGGGGTCTGTGCACGTGTCTGTGTGCAGAGACAACTAATTAATAAACWCCAGGTATTGGCCCAACAGCACAAAAGACTGGTTGCTGCCATCAAACAAGTCTTTGCAGTGATTTCACCTGAAAGGAGAGGTCAGATCTTTTGAAGTGTAGTTTTATGGAAAGGTGATGAACAGTTAATATCTTACCTGCTGTAGATAGTTATTTAAGCAACCTCAGGTTGGAGAAATGGACAGAATGAGATGAAAACTACTAAATTTAGTGAGCCCTAGACACCAAAGTGGATTCATGTATACATTTTGTCAGGTCTTGCGGGTTAATCTGGCTTAAATAAAAGGACATTTTTGCCAGAAGTGCTACAGCTAGCTGTTCCTGTTGTTTACACTGGCAAAACAAACAACAGAATTCATATAAAAATAAATGTGTATTGTGGATTATTATCTACCCTTAGCTACAAGTTTGACACTTTTGGTTTCAGTAGTGGCAGCTAGCTGTAGCCTTTCCAGTGGAGCCTGAGGCTTCTAACAGGACTGTAACATATTGCAAGACACAAGCTGTCTAAAATTTTAAACAATGGCATTTGCATGAAACTTTAATTATTATTTTAAGACAGCAGTGATTCGCTTTGGTTTTGGTCCTGGGTTAACCATTAGCTTGTCAGCCTTACACAACATCATGAACTTCATATGTGGAAAATCACATTATTTTAACTATAAAAACTTGTTCATTTTGCCATAATTATCAAGCACTGCCTTTTATAAAAGAGTTTCAAAATAAAATCATCTTATAATGAGATTTAATTAAACATTTTTGGTCAAACCTTGTAAATAATTTGCATGTTTTCATGCAATACCTGTTAGTGACTGACGTATGCTTTAATGATGAATCAGACAATAGCATCACATTTATCTCAATATTTGTAAAGTGGACTATGTTATGGCTATTTTTGTGTTGCTTAAAATGAATCAGCTGTGACAGCAATGTTGTAGATGCACATCTAATAAACATTTAATGACATTATATATGTATACATATATATATAT